CCCTCTCTTTCTTCTTAGCTTCAGGTGTACAAAGCAATGTAATAGTTAGACATTTACACCTCTCACAAAGTGATCCCCCCAATCTACTACCCCTCTGACGTAACATATAGCTGTTACAATACCATTGACTATCTCCCCTACGCTGTACTTTACATCCCATGAATATACAGAGGATGTCAAATAAATGTATACACATTTTAAGAAAGGAAAAATCTATTAAAATTGTAATACTCAATATATACCAATAACAAAACATGAAGACAAGTCACATTTGATTTCTGCAATTACAAGAGGTGCTCAAAGTGATTACCACCAGCGTCCAGACACTTCTGATTATGGCGAACTACTGCTTGAGCAACGTTGACCACAATGCCAACGTGTATACATGTTTTTGGCACCCCCGTTATATATTACTCTGTAAACTAAAAACTGAGAATACATGCATTCACAAGAATTGGCCAAGGAAAACCTAAATATATTTTTAAATATAAAAAATATGCAGAAAATGTTATCTAATTTAATGTAATAAAATAAGAAATGAATAAGAAAAGTGCTCTGAGAAATAAAACAACTCTCTTAAAGAACTTTAAGCTCAAAGAGATCATTCTAACCAAAACTGCAGAACATCTAGAAAATAAAAATACAGATACAGAATATTTAGTGGAAAAAAAGAAAACTACAGTTTCTTCTTCCTTTTCCTCTTGCCTTGAATAAGTCAGTCCAAGGGACATTAGATGGGGCTTAACAGGCTAGGTGTGTCTGGGCAGGTTGGGGGTGGGGTGGAATGTAAGGGTGGGGGTGGGGATGCGTGGAGGCAAAGAATGTCAGAGCCTGAGGAGGTGGGGGAGGGGAAAGCATCCACCTTAGAAAATGGTTGCTGCCAGTTTGAAGTATCAAAGCTGGAAGGAGGAGCCTCCCAGCAGGGAGTGTTGTGCTTAAGCAAGTCAGGTGGGGGAGAGCCTTGTGCCAGGAGATTGGTTACTTTCCATAACAATTATTTTAAAGATACTGGGAACCAGGTCCTTAGCTATCAGAGAAGGCAGTCACAAATATGCGCAGGGAGGAAACGAAAAACAACCCTGTGGTGTAGGTTTTAATTGGAAGAATCAGTGAACTCATGGAAGGGGAGAGAACACTTCCCAACGCATTTTATGAAGCCAGTATTACCCTGATAGCAAAACCAAACAGAGACATTACAATAAAAGAAAATCAAAGACCAATATCTCTCATGAACTAAGATGCAAAAATCCTTAACAGCCTAATAGCAAATTGAATCAAGCAATGTATAAAAGGAATTATATGCTATGACCCAGTGGGATTTATTCCAGATATACAAGAGTGGATCAGTATTCAAAAATCTATCAGCATAATCCACCATATCAAAAAGCTAAAGAAGGAGCTGGCAGAGTGGCTCAGTTGGTTAAGAGCGTGAGCTCTGAGCAATATGCCAGTTTGATTCCCACATGGGCCAGTGAGCTGCCCCTGAGCTGAGCTGCCATTGAGCTGCCGATGGGAGGCTGGATGGTTCAGTGGTTAGAGCGTGGGCTTTGAAAAACAAGGTTGATGGTTCAACTCCTGCATGGGGTGGTGGGCTATGCCCACCCGCAACTAAAGTTGAACATGACACCTTGAGCTGAGTAGCCACGAGCTGCCCATGGGCGGCCGGACAGTGATTGAACTTGGAGCTGAGCTAGCTGAGCCCTCCACAACTAAGACTGAAGGACAACAGCTTGGCTGTTCCCATTCCCCAACACTGTTTCCCTTCCCCAATCCCCCCCCCCAAAAAAAGCTAAAGAATAAAAGTATCAATTAATGCTAAAAAAACATTTGACAAAATCTAATACCCTTTAAAACAAAAGCTCTCAGCAAACTAGGAATAGAAGGGAACTTTCTCATCTCAATAAAAATAACAGCCTTATAGCTGACATCATATTTAATGGTGAAAAGCTAAATGATTTCCTCCTAAAATTGAGAACAAAGTAAGGATGTCTGCTTTCACCACTCTAATTTAATTCAGCATATCATTGGGGGTTCTAGCCAGCACATACCAAAATGCAGAATAAATTCCAGCTGTTAAAGATGGAAAACATGGAAAAAACTAAATGTCAAACCTTAAAACAAAATTTAGAACGATATAAATTTGGGGACAAGGGGTCCTGCCATGCTATTCTCTATAAAGGAAAAGACAGCCAGATGTCAACTAGGAATACCTTATAACATAATATGGCAAAAGAAGCCAAATAAATAATAAAGCTTTATCAGTGACCTGAACATTCAATCGTTCATTCATCCCACAGACTTCTCATCACTCACCACACAGATAGCCCATCACTCACCTACTCTTCTGTCATCACTCACCCCACAGACTCTCCATTCCTGACCCCACAGAACTTCATAACTTAACTTCCTGAACCCCAGCCACCATCACTAACAGAAGTCGCCATTCCTGATAAAAGCCAGTGTCTGGGTGACTTGCTGTAACAAAGACCCCTTCTGCTTTTTCTCTGTCCTCTTTTCTCGGTCCTTGCTTATTTGCCGCTGACGGGCATCCTCATTAGCAGCTGTGAAGTCACACCTTGCCCATGGCCACCAGATAGCAGGGTGAAAGCGCACATCCTGTGCCCATGGGCAGAGGAGCTGACCCCTCTCTCGTGGATGGACTTTGTGCCCCAGGAAGGGGAAGCCAGAAGGGGATCAGTTTTTAGGGGTTTTGGAACTGCAGCTCAGAATGTAAATTTGGAGAAATCTCTCTTCTTACTTATGTAGTTAAATATACATATAAAAACATAAAATTAGTGGTATCTAAAGAACAGAGTAAACAAACAAAACAGAAATAGGCTCATAGAAAGAGAGAACAAACTGGGTTGCTAGATGGGAGAGGGTGGGGGAATGGTGAGAAAGGTGAAGGGATTAGAAAGTACAAATTGGTAGTTAAAAAATAGGCATGGGGATGTTAAATACAGTATAGTGAATATAGTCAATAATATTGTAAAAACTATGTATAGTGTCGGATGGGTACTAGACTTATTGGGGGGATCACTTCATAAATTATATAAATGCCTAATCACTGTGCTGTGCACCTGAAACTAATATAAAATAATATTGAATGTCAACTATCATTTTAAAAAATATACAGTCACAGGATGTAAAGTACAGCATAAGAAACATAGTCAATGGTGTTGCAATAGCTATGTGCGGTGTCAGATGGGTAGTAGACTTGTTGGGGTTAATACTTTGTGAGGTGTGTAAATGTCTAATCACTGTTGTTTTGTATACCTGAAAATAATAATAATAATAATAATAATAATAATAATAATAATAATAATAAAAAGGAAGTCAGAAGACCATGAGGCAGGAAGGAGCTCTCCAAGGTTATGAAATCCTCTGTATCTTGATTATGGTGGTGATTACACAGGTAAACTTCTGTCAAAACATATCTACTGATCACCAAAATGGATGCATGCTATCCTATGGAAACTATCTCTCAATTCAAGTAAAATTTCCAAAGTAATAGATGATGTCAATCCATAAAAAAAAACATAAAACTACATAGATTAAGTTAACCATATAGGTATACAGATGTTATATCTATGTTATTAATGTAGGATTTAAATAGTTTTCATGAAAATTGTTGAAACGTGATGGTTATATGCCACATCATTATACTTTTTATTATCCTTTGTCCATGTGTTTAAGTTTCCATAATAAAACCTTTTTTATTTATTTTATTTTAGTTTTTTAGTTGAGCCATTCTGTCACTTGTTGGCAGCTCAGCGGCAGCTCAGCTTGGGCCGGGAATCGAACCGGCGACGCTGTTGCTCAGAGCTCGCACTCTTGAGAGAGCTCTTAACCAACTGAGCCATTCAGCCGGGCCCCTAAAAACTTTTAAAAGATCATTTTGAGAACTGTAATAATGATAAACATGCCTCTTCTTGCTTTTCGAAATTTACTTTTTTATGTGTATTTTTTTCCCCTTTACCTCTTTGCTTTTACTCCATCTCCATGAACACTCCTTAAAGCATTGTGTCCACTATGTTTGGAGATTTGTAGAAGTGTATGTATCTCTATCAGTTAATATTTGTACGTAAAGCAAATCAGCCACTACACTTCACCATTATGCAATTAAGTCCTCTTATGATCACTGTCTTCATTTTAAGATTTAGAAAGATGCCCATATATCTAAATGTCTGTCTATCTATATGTAAAATACTTATTCTACATATTTCAATATATGCATATTCATATCTATTTTATTTATAACAAATATTTATGTTACATACACATATATAATTATAAATATCATCTTGGTAGACAACACTAACTTTATAATGGACTGCGTGGTACCTACAATCCACGTGTACAAACACCATGAAAACAAATGGCCGTGCAGAGAACACACTGATTACTGTGAAGACTGGCCAATGGCCCAGAGGATCTTGGCGTCACTCCTGGATAGCTGGCCCTATGAAATGCTCATGGATTTTGATAACCACCTGGATGACATTCGGAATGACTGGATAAATCCAGAGATCAATAAAGCTGTTCTGCACCTGTGTGGGGGAGGGAATTGAAGAAGGAAAGCTATTTTTAAATGTAAATAAATATCTCATAGCCTGTGTAGAAAGCTGACAGTTTTCAGAAGTGGCACTTGCCTTGAAAGAGGGCAGAATGTCCCATCAGTTGTCTTTTTGATTCAAAATCTCTAGAAAAGGTAGACTATCCAGTCGAAACTTCCCTGAGGTGTCCTTCCCAGTTGCATTTTGCTGTGATTCTCCAAATCAAACTTATTTCTGCTTGTTCAAGATTGTTCCTATTACATAGTTTTAACTAACCTTTTTATAATCTGGAGAGATTACTTTTAAGGCTTATGCAAACTATATTTTTAAAAAACCATATTTTATTTTTTAAAATCATATTACATATATAGAGGGTGACAAAAATATATACACATTTTAAGAAAGGAAAAAACTGTATTAAAATTGTAATATTCAGGCGTCAAGATGTCCGGGTCCTGCTCAGCTTCTGAGGAGACCGCGGGCTCCAGACAGCGACTCCAGATGAAGGTGAATGAATATAAAGAAAATCAAAACATCTCTTCTGTATCTCTAAGACCAGTACAGAATACAATTTTAGAAAAAACAGTTAAGGTGTGTCTTGTCCCCTTTTCACTCCATAATTACAAGCCAGGCCAACTTAAGCTCCCCAAATCCCTATTAGAGAAGAATTCTAACAATGAAGTGGCATGTAAGAAATACAAGAAGACTGAAATAAAGAAAACTTGCACAAGGATTTCAACTTCAAAGATGGAAGCCACTACATCTTCCAAGGTAGAATCCACTCTGCAAAAATCATCTGTAGATGTTCACACAGAAAATAACGAGCGACAACACAAGAGCACATCTGATACAGCGATTCTCAGTGTTGATATGGAAAGCAGTCAGGATGGAGACAGTGATGAAGATACCACATCAGGCCCAGATGGTTTTCAGGATTGTCACCGTACGAAAGGAAGAGACTGAAGAACATATCAGAAAATGCAAACTTTTTTGCTTCTCTTCAGCTGTCTGAGTCAGCTGCAAGGCTCCGTGAAATGATAGAGAAGAGACGGCCTCCTGAATACAAAAGAAAAGAGCCTAAGAAGAAAGAAAATGGGACTGGATGTAGACAGTTAATGAGATTACTAAATGTAGACCCTCCAGAAGTTTCATTACCAGCAACCCCAACCACGCCAACATTAGTAGCAGAGGAAAATCCTCTGTTACCTCTCGGGCCTTTAGAAATGACTCCCGAAAATCGAGATGACAACAGTGAACTATTCAAAGACTTTCTACAGACCTGGGCTGAAGTGAGCAAGACAAGTAGTAAGAACGTTGAGAAGGAGTTATCCAGTATTAAAACCTACAAAGCCAATTTAAGTGGCATGGCCATTAGTGAAGATACTGTTTTATTTGTTTTTTTTTATTTATTTCAGCGGAGCCATCCTGCTACCTATTGGCAGCTTAGCGGCAGCTGAGCTCGGGCTGGGCATCGAACCGCTGTTGCTCAGAGCTCAAACTCCAGAGTGAGCTCTTAACCAACTGAGCCACTCAGCCAGCCCTGTGAAGATACTGTTTATAAACTTAACAAAGGTGCAATATTCTCTATGGCTTTCCACCCATCAGAAATGAAAACTTTGGTGGCAGCTGGGGCCAAATCTGGGCAAGTTGGACTTTGGGATCTGACTCACCAACCTAAAGAAAATGGAGTTTATGTTTTTCAACCCCATAGAGGGGCAGTTGGCTGTCTTTACTTCTCACCTGCCAATTCTGCTCACATACTGTCACTGAGTTATGATGGCACATTATGCTGTGGAGATTTTTCCAGGGCTGTTTTTGAGGAGGAATATAGAAATGAAGAAAGTAGCCTTTCCTCCTTTGACTTCTTGGCAGAAGATGTCTCAACTTTAATAGTAGGACACTGGGATGGAAGTATGTCACTGGTGGGTAGACAGACACCTGGAACTTCTGAAAAACTTATCAATTCTTCTATGAGAAAAATAAGAACTGTCCAAGTCCACCCGGTGCATAGACAATATTTTATCACTGCAGGATTGAGGAACATTCATATTTATGATTCAAGGCGCCTGAATCCTAGGGGAAGCCAGCCTTTGATTTCTATGACTGAACACACAAAGAGCATTGTTTCTGCTTATTTTTCACCTCTTACTGGTAACAGAATAGTGACCACATGTGCCGATTGTAAGCTGAGAATCTATGACAGCAGCTGTATATCCTCTGAGATTCCTCTCCTCACTACCATCGGGTATAACACCATCACTGGGCAATGGCTGACCAGGTTCTGAGCTGTGTGGGCCCCTAATCAAGAAGACTGTATCATAATTGGCAGCATGGCCCATCCATGACAGGTGGAAAACTTCCACGAGACGGCAAAGCAGGTGCATTCTTTTCTTGATGGAGAATACCTTGTCTCTGTGTGTTCCATCAATGCTATGCACCCAACTCGGTATATTTTGGCTGGAGGTAATTACAGTGAGACGATACATGTTTTTATGAATTAAGAGAATTGCTGGATTTGGGGTTTAGCAATACCAATTTGTTAAATTAATTAGTGTATCTATATATTAATACATATAAATTGACTTATTAATAAGAACTATGAGCAGAATGTACTTGCAGTAAAGGAGAAGGCTTGGAGGTTGTTTCTACAGGACGGGGAGGGAATCTGTGGGGAGACTGAGATGCTTTCAGCACTTTAATCAGATAACATGTTGAGACATTTTAACATGATAAATTTTAAACCTTTGATCAGTATTAAAAGTTTTTGTGGTCTAAAAAACAAAAATAAAATAAAATAAAATTGTAATACTCAATATATACTGATAACAAAAGAGGAATACAAGTCATGTGCATACATTTTTTGGGCACCCCCAGTATATTCTCTGGGATAAATGTCCAAGAATTCAATTGCTGGAGTATATGTTTAGTTTTATGAGAAACTGCCAAACTATTTTCCAGAGTGGCTGTACCATTTTCCATTACCATCAGCAATGTATGAATGACCAAGTGTCTTCATATCCTCCCCAGCATTGGTGTCGCTATATTTTATTTCAGCCATTCTGACATGTGTATACTGATATCTCATTGTGGTCTATATTTTTATTTCACTGATGGCTAATGATATCAAACATATTTTCATGTACTTATTTGCCATCGGTATATTCTCCTTGATGAAATGTCTTTTATAATTAGACTGTTTGTTTTTATACTCTTGAGTTAAAGAGTTATTTATAAAGGCCAGCCAAGTGGCTCAGTTGGTTAAGAGCTTGCCCAAGGGTGCGAGCTCTGAGCAACAGGGTTGCCAGTTTGATTCCCAGCCTGAGCTGAGCTGCCAACAGTTGGCAGGATGGCTCAGCTTAAAAAAAAAAAAGGAGTTACTTATATATCCTAGTTTGAGAGTTCTGTACGTATCCTAGAAAAGTACTCCTTTGTCAGATATGTAGTTTGCCAATATTTTCTCCCAGTTTGTAACTTGTCTTCCATCTTTCACCTTCACAAGGAATTTCACAGAATAAAGTTTTTAATTTTGATGAGGTCCAACTGATCAATTTTTCCTTTTCTGGATCCTGCTTTTCATATCCAGTTTAAGAACTCTTTGCCTATCCCTAGATTCTAAAATTTTTCTCCTATGTTTTTTTCTACAAGTTTTACATTTCACATTTTTGCGTTAATTTTTGTACAAGATTTGAGGCTTTTTTTTGGTTTTTGTCCCCCTACAGATGCCCATTTGCTCCAGCACCATTTGTTGAAAGGCTATCCTCCATTGAATCACTTTTGCAACTTAGTCAAAAATAAATTGGCCATACTTGTGCGTGGGTTTTTCTGGGGTCTCTATTCTGTTCTATTGATCTATGTGTCTGTGCTTCCACCAATACCACACTGTCTTGATAAATGTAGCTACATAATAAGCATTAATATTGAGCAGAGTGATTCCTCCCATTTTCTTACTTTTTTCTCAAAAGTGTTTCAGCTATTCTAGTTCTTTTGGCTTTTCATATAAATTTCAGAAAATGATTGTGTATGTCTACAAAAAACTATTAGAATCTTCATAGGAATTGCATTAAATCTATATATTGATTTAGAGAAAATTGGCATGTTTAATGTGTTGAACCTTCAAATCCATGAACACACTATGCCTCTCCATTTATTGAAGTCTTTTATATTATCAGAATTTTGTAATCTCTAGATGTGAGTCTCCTTTACATGTTTTGTTAAGTGTGTATACCCAGGTATTTTGTTTTCTTAGAACTGATTGTAAATCATATTGTACTTAAATTTTTAGTTTCTGTGTGTTCATCGTGACTATATAGAAATTGATTGTTTTTGCATGTTGATCTCGTATCCAGTAACCTCACTGAACTACCTGATTAATTAAAGGAGGTTTTGAGGGTAGATTTCTTGGGATATTTTACATAGGCAATTATGTCACTTGCAAATAAGAACAATTTTGTCTTTTTTTACCCCTTTACAACCTGTATGCTAGTAGTATTATTTTTCTTGTGTTATTGTGATTATTAAAACTTCTAGTACTCTGTTGAATAAGAATGGTGAAAGTAGATATTCTTGCCCTGTCCCCTATTTTAGGGGTCAATAATTCAGTCTTTAACCAACAATATAATGTTAGCTGTAGACTTTTTGTAGATGCCATTTATTAAGTTGAGGTAATAGTCCTCCCTGTGTGTGTTTTTTAATCAAGAAGGGTGGACTTTTGTCAAATACTTTGCCCGCATGAATTAATATGATTGTATGATTTTTCTTCTTTAGGTTGTATGGTATAATAAGAAATACCTATATGTATTTGGTCTTAGTCTCCAGTTCCTGGCACAGAGTTCCTAAAACCCTGGGAATTTTCTGAGTGACAGGAATATCTTTCATTGTTCATAATGGGCCCTTTTCATCACACCTGAGTTTATGCTAATGAATGACTTAGGGTGAGTCCCCTAGATAGCATCAGGATGGGGCTGTTACCATGCATTCAAAAGTTCCGGCTGCTAGCCCAGAGGCGTGGTTGTTGGAAAGAAATGCAATTTTATTCCAAAATGCAAGCATTAAGGGAAGACAGTAACACCCTGTCACAAAGATTGCTTTCCATCCCTTAATACCACTAAAAGGTTTCACAGGCATGCAAAGAAAGGCAGAACAAAGAAAAAAGAAGTTGGCCAGGCAGCCCCAAGGGGAAAAAAGTAACACCTGCTTCCCAGGGGCTGGTCTGCCTCTGAGTCAGAAGTGGATACCATACAGATGCAAAAACCTCTCCCAAGTCACCAGATCATGCAAGGGCTCGAAGTAAACAGAACCATTGGAACTGGTATGCGTAATAAATGTATGGTAAATAGAGTCATCAAAGTTTGGGGGGAGAGGAGAGAAGCAAAGAAAAAAAACTTTCAAAAAGTGCCAAGCCAAATCACTGTCAAATCCGATTATATCAGAGGTTTAAATCTCAAAATAGAAGGTATAGGGTCACCATTACAGGGCTGGTCACCAGAAAGGCCAAGTGATTAGAGGGTTGAAACTCACCACCATCTACTAACCTTCAGGGAGGGGAAGGGAGGCTGGAGATTAAATTCTATAAATTTATAAACTCTTGAACAGGGAGATTTGAAGAGCTTCTAGGTTGATGGACACATTGAAGTGCTGGGAGTGTGGTGGACCTTGAGAGGACGTGGAAGCTCCGTGCCCCCACTTTACCTTGCTCCATGCATCTCTTCCATGTGGCTGTTACTGAGTTGTATCTTTTGCAGTAAACCAGTAAATGTAAGCACAGTCATGCACCACTTAATAGACCAACAACCAAAAAGAAACAGAGGACCAAGAACCAAGCAAACAGAAAACAATAAGTTGGAAGACTTAAGTGCTAACACATCAATAATTACTTTAAATATAAACTATCTAAATATACCAATTTAAAAACAGATTTTTAGAATGACTTAAAAACAACACAACCCAACTATACTTATTACATCATTATTTTCTCAGCAAGAATGACAACAATAAGAAAGAAGATACAACTCATCGATATAAAAGGGAAATAGAAGATGTCACTACAGATCTTGAAGCCATTGAAAAGATAGTAAGAGAATCCTACAAAACATCTTATGCTCATAAATTTGACAACTTGGAAGAAATGGACCACTTCCTCAAAAACCAAAACAAATAAAGCTCAAATAAGATGAAGTTAGATAATCTGAGTAGTTATACAATTAAATTGAATTTATGATTTAAAAGTCCAAGGAAGTGTTTCTTTTTTATTTTATTTTTTACTGAAATATATTTGAACATATAACATTGTGTAAAATTTTTTTTAAGATTTTGGGGGGTTGGGGGAGGGAAGAGCGCTGGGGAATCGGAGAAGGGGAACAGACAAGTGGCTGTCCTTTTGTTCTTCAGTCTAGTTGTGGAGGACTTCGCTTCACTGGCCCATGTTGGTATTATCATTGTGCTCTTCCCGGGTGAGGCAGATCTGTTGCCGGCCACTGGACGGCCACTCACGGTAGCTCATGGCAGCCCACTGCAGCCCCACTGTAACCTCCCCCCGTCGCCAGCGACTCACTGCAGCCCAAGTCCAGGTCAAGCTGCTGTTCACCATCTTAGCTGTAAAGGGAGCAGTGTCACTGGCCCTCAATGTGGAATCCGAACTGGCAGCCCTGCTGCTCAGAGCTTGCGCTCCCAAGCCAACTCTTAACCAATGAGCCACTCGGGCGGCCCTAACATTGTGTAAATTTGAGGTGAACAATATATTGATATAATACATTACAATATTGTGATATGATTGCCATTGTAGCAATAGTTAGCACATCTATCACATCACATAATTGTCATTTCTTTTTTTGTGGAGAAAATAATTAAGATCTGGTCTTTTAGCAGTTTGATGGTTATAATACAATATTGTTTTCTTTGATGTCTCTTCTTATAAGCTCTCTAATCCCATGAGATCAGGGCTCCACTCTTATGACCTCATTTAACTTTAATTACTTCCTCTGAGGCTCCATATCCAAATACATCCACACTGGTGAGTTAAGGTCTCAACATATGAATTCAGGGATGAAGAGGTGGGGGAAACACAAACATTCAGTTCATAACACCCATGCTTTTCCCTTGCTCCCTCTGTCTCTTTACTGACCCTGGTACTTCTCGGTTTGACCCCCTTATGGCGTGGCTGGCCCCCTCCTCTTGGTATGTATGAGTATAACAAACTCTTCCCAATGGCAGTTGTCTCCTGATGTTGGCCTCACTACATCTGAATAATAAAAAAAAACACTTCTATTTTAAAACATACTAGTACTAACATTTTACCACTTTTAGTGAAATGTGGAAACCTCACTTCCATTGAGGCCCCTTATCTTCCCCACTTTTGTTTGAATCGTCAAATATGATATGGGAAACTCATCAGGAAAAGGATAATCTATGTATTTTATATACACATATTCCTGCTCCTCTCCTTGACTGTTTTTCCTTTCTGATGCTCTATGATTCTTTCGTTTCTCATTTTCTGTTTTTTGAA